TTGAGCAGGGAGGTCCAGACATCTCTTTCCACAGCCAGCTCTTCCAGGAGGATTCCAAGGTGTTCCCAGGCCAACAGAGTGTGTCCTGAGTCTTCCCCGGGGTCTCCTCCCAGTCAGACATGCCCGAAGCCTTGGGGGCATCCATACCAGATACCAGAACCACCTCAACTGGCTCCTCTCCATGTGGAGGAGCAGTGGTTCTACTCCAAGTCTCTCCTGATAACTGAACTTCTTCCCTTGTCTCTAAGGGAAAGTCCAGCTGCCCTGCAGAGGAAACTCATCTCAACCTCCTGTATCCATGATCTCTTTGGTCACTATCCATTGAACCAGAATCCCTCCTCCCCCTGGCTGCACCTGGAAATTCTGTCCATAAAAATTAAACGGAATCAGTGACAACGGGCGGCCCTGGCAGAGTCCAACTCCCACCCTGAATGGGTTCGACTTACTACCGGCAATGCAAACCAATTTTTATTTTTTATAAATAGCACCTTCTCATAGTGGATCAACCAGTTTTGCTGCTGACATCCAGAACTAGCTGTTCACACGTAAAAGAGGACCATCAGCCTAACAACCACTTGTTAGCACACTGAAGCTCTTTACTACTCACAGAGGGCTGAGTGATACTAGCAATCACAGCATTGTAAGAGGGGGACAGTTGAACCCGGAGGCCTCCACCCCTGTTTAATGATGGATGGTTTCTTTCCACAAAGATGGCCTCCTTTACTCCTCTCTCAAACCATCGTTCCTCTCTGTCCAGGATGTGAACATCTTCATCCCTGAAAGAGTGACCGCTGGCCTGGAGATGAGTGTAGACCACAGAGTCCTGGCCTGATGATGTTGATCTTCTGTGCTGGGCCATCCTTTTGGCCAGTGGCTGTTTGGTTTCCCTGATGTAAGACTGATCACAGCCCTCCTGACACTGAACAGAAAGCAGCCATCAGGGCACTGATGACCAATTGTTAGGCTGATGGTCCTCCTTTTACACGTGAACAGCTAGTTCTGGTTGTCAGCAGCAAACTGGACGATCCACTATGAGAAGGTGCTGTTTATAAGACTGAGCTTCAGACTGAAGAAGTGTTTTGAATAAAGGATGAAACATTTCAACAAGAAGAATCTGTCCCAATGATCTGACTTAACCTTGTTAGATTTCTCTACCTGGATTATTGAGCAGCACCTGGACAAATGAAGTATTGCTTCAATTAGCTGTAATGGAACAAAGATGCAGTCATTTTCTTACAATGACACACTCCAGCCTGGAGGACTACACAACATTTAACTGCAAACGTTACGCTGCCTTGTTTAATCTGTATAACAGAGACTGAAACTAATAGGAAGAATGGTCCAGGCGGGCTTACGGTACTGTTCAAACTCATGCTATTCTTCACAGAAACATCACTTGCAGCTTGATCCACTCCTCATACTATTATCACCCGGTCTTTGAGAACGGCTGATAATGATGCACAAAAACTGTCACTGTGCAAAGATAAAAGAACAACGTGCAGATGGATGTGTTGTACAGGAACAAACCTCAAACAATGTGATGTTTACAACCAGTTTCAGTAGGAAATGTGCAAAAACAACATTCAGCTGCTTAACTTACAACAATCCACCTCGTCCCGCTGTGGTTCAACAGGTTGGGTTAAGAATGAGAGCATTACAGGAACACAGCTTTGTTCTCTTTTCTGAGCCTGATTTTAAAAGACAATAGTCCAACCATGCTGTTTCAGAGGTTATTCCTCTCATATTTCCATTTTACTCTAACAAACACTGGGTCACGCCCACGGTTTGCCCTACTGCAACACTTGTGTCTATCAAAAGTATTTTTTTTACACCCAAATCCTTGAAAGCACGAAGCAAAGCTGAAGCTGCCTCCCCCCCAGCACCTTCAGCGACAGCTCGACCGGCAGCTGTTGCTACAAAACAACAAAACATGGTCGCTCATTTCTTTTTGTTTCAGGTTAATTTGACAAACATGACATCATCAAAGTGTGGCTGAATAAGATAATTTAACAATAGATGGAAGTGCGCACACACACAAACACGCGCACGTGGAAACATTAGTGTCCACCTTGACCTGGTGTGACAAAAAGAGTAAAATGGGAGAAAACCTTTTGTTCGATGCGACCATCGTCTTCAGGTAAGTGAGCCGCGACGTACCAATCACCTGGGGCCGGATCTGAGAGGTTAAAGGTCATGGAGCTCTGCGAGACCACTGGGAGAACCAGAGACAGACTGGGACTCCAGAGCGTTGCGTTGGGAAACACAGACTCTGTGGGGTTTATGACAGGAGGGGCACCCCATCGAAGATGGCTGGAAAACAAAGAGGAAGAGGAGCAGCTGGAAACATGGAGAAAAAGACAAACCCACAAGGAGCAAGGTGTTCTGAAGGTGGACAGTGTCCAGTCTTACATGGAGACGTTGTGTTGTCCACAGTTGAAGGTGTGTCCTTTTTTCACTGAGAACAACCAGCGAGCGATGGCGGTCTCCTCTGGGATCTGGAACCTCTGCAGCCTGACATTAGCGTACCAGCCGTACCTGGACAACTTCTGAGCAGGCTTTGACAGAAGCTCCGAGACAAATGTCACCTGTCCATCTGTAGGACGACAACTTTGGTACATCAACAACAAACTGTGGACTGTTAGACTTGCTAAGCATTGAATGACGGAAAAATCACATGTAAAAAAGAAACATTTTACAGTAATTGTCAGTGTATAAGCCACTAGTTTTTCCTCGCTTTGGACTCTTCAGTTTATACAAACCGGATTCCCAAAAAGTTGGGACACTAAACAAATTGTGAATAAAAACTGAATGCAATGATGTGGACATGGCAAATGTCAATATTTTATTTGTAATATAACGTAGAAAACAGATCAAAAGTTTAATCTGAGTAAATGTAACATTTTAAAGGAAAAATATGTTGATTCAAAATTTCAGTGTCAACAAATCCCAAAAAAGTTGGGACAAGCAGCAATAAGTGGTTGGAAAAAGGAAATTGAGCATATAATGAACAGCTGGAAGACCAATTAACACTAATTAGGTCAATTGACAACATGATTGGGTATAAAAAGAGCTTCTCAGAGTGTCAGTGACTCTCAGAAGCCAAGATGGTAAGAGGATCACCAATTCCACCGTTGTTGAGCAGAAAGATAGTGCAGCAATACCAGAATGGTGTTACCCAGCGTAAAATAGCAAAGACTTTTAAGTTATCATCATCAACCGTGCATAACATCATCAAA